AGCGCAGCACCACCACCAGCAGCGCGCCGTTGCCCAGCAGGGCTGCTGCCTCCACGATGGCCGCCAGGATCAACCCCATGGAGCCTGCGACTTCGGTGGCCTGGAGGAGCCCGGTGGTGTTGGCCATCCAGCGCTCGGGCTTCACCCTGGGTGGGGATGCAGAGAGCGAAATGGGAGGGCCCCCTCCCCCCATTCCCATCCCCCGCCTCTTGCTCCTCTGGCCGCTCACCTCATAGGCTGCCCAGGCTCTGGCCCTGCTGCCCAGGCCCCCATCCTCTCGGGGGTTTGGCCAGCCCCATGGAGGGGTGCAAGGCTGGGACTGTGGCTCTCTCCGCTGCTCCAGCAGCTCAGCCCCTGCTGGAGATGGTACTGGCTGTCACTCTGATGTGGCCCTTCACAGACGCGGAGTTGGCAAGGGAGGGGCAGGGCCTGGCACCCGCCGCCTGGTCCTAGCAGCTGCCAGCTGCAGGCTGGAGGCTGTGCTGTGAGGGGCCCAGAGCAGGCAGGAGCTGGAGTCCAGAGCAGGACAGTGGAGGGTGGGAGGCGGGAGGAGCCAGCGTACTCCGCTCGCGCTCTGGCTCTGCTGGGCCTCCCCACCTCGCTCCTTCGGGCAGCCCTCTCTGTGGTTCTGGCGCCTGCGGGTGGCCCTGGCCCCGGACACTGGATACCATTTCCCTCCAGGATCGATCCAACCTCAGAGTGGTAGCAGCTTCCACTGTTGCTCATCGTTGGGTGGCCTCGCCGTCCCCTGTGAGTTCCGTTCCTTTCCTGGATCTGATTCCTCTTGTCTGGGATTCCGAGAGTGGTTTCTGCTTTGCTGACTGACACCCGCCCTGCAGTCCGCTGTCTGCACAGCAGCTGAAGCGAGTCCCTCTAACACAGCGGTTCTCAACCTTCCTAATGCCGCGACCCTTTAATACAGTTTCTCACGTTGTGGTGAAGAACCCCCAACCATAAAATGATTTTCGTTGCTACTTCATAACTGTCATTTTGCTACTGTTATGAATCATCATGTAAATATCTGATATGCAGGATATATTTTCATTGTCACAAATTGAACATCATGAAAGCAGTGATTAATCACAAAAACAATAGGTACAGCGTACTCCGCTCGCGCTCTGGCTCTGCCGGGCCTCCCCACCTCGCTCCTTCGGGCAGCCCTCTCTGTGGTTCTGGCGCCTGCGGGTGGCCCTGGCCCCGGACACTGGATACCATTTCCCTCCAGGATCGATCCAACCTCAGAGTGGTAGCAGCTTCCACTGTTGCTCATCGTTGGGTGGCCTCGCCGTCCCCTGTGAGTTCCGTTCCTTTCCTGGATCTGATTCCTCTTGTCTGGGATTCCGAGAGTGGTTTCTGCTTTGCTGACTGACACCCGCCCTGCAGTCCGCTGTCTGCACAGCAGCTGAAGCGAGTCCCTCTAACACAGCGGTTCTCAACCTTCCTAATGCCGCGACCCTTTAATACAGTTTCTCACGTTGTGGTGAAGAACCCCCAACCATAAAATGATTTTCGTTGCTACTTCATAACTGTCATTTTGCTACTGTTATGAATCATCATGTAAATATCTGATATGCAGGATATATTTTCATTGTCACAAATTGAACATCATGAAAGCAGTGATTAATCACAAAAACAATATGTAATTATATATGTGTTTTCCGATGGTCTTAGGCGACGCCTGGGAAAGGGTCGTTCGACCCCCAAAGGGGTTGCGACCCACAGGTTGAGAACCGCTGCTCTAACAGGTCACATCAGGCCATGACCCTCTCGCAGCCCCCCAGGAGCTTCCTGTCCTCAGAACAGCATCCCCTCTCTGTGACCTCACCCCTCCTCGCCTACCCTACTCCCCGCCGGAGCCGTCCTCTTGCAGGTCCTCTCATGTGTCAGACTGGGTTCCTTCAGCACACCTTCCCGCGGGTCTGTCCACGGCTCGCCCCTCACCGCACCCAGGTCTCTGCTGGAGAGAGGCCTTCGGCGACTGCCCGTCTCTCCTGGGATCGCTCCCCCTTCCCATCACCACTCCTTTTGCCCTGCTTTGCCCACCTGCTACTGAGCTTCTTATCTGCGCATGTGCTTGTGTGGAGCCTGTTTTACGGGAACGTGAGTCCCGTAAGAGCAGGGACCTTGTCTGCGTCTTGCTCACGTTTGCGCCCCTGGGAACCATCACGGGCACACGGTCAGCACCGGGACAGATGTAGGGGCGGAGACTAGGGCATGGACCCCCAGGTTGGACACCCTCTCTGCTGGGACTTATTTATTTTAAATATATTTTATTGATTTTTTACAGAGAGGAAGGGAGAGAGATAGAGAGTCAGAAACATCGATGAGAGAGAAACATCGATCAGCTGCCTCCTGCACACTCCCTACTGGGGATGTGCCCGCAACCCAGGTACATGCTCCTGACCGGAATCGAACCCGGGACCCTTGAGTCCGCAGGCCGACACTCTATTCACTGACCCAAACTGGTCAGGGCTCTCTGCTGGGATTTAAAGGGCCCAGCCCAGTTCTCCATTACTCAGACAGTAAGCTGATGCCCGGTCAGGGAAGGAATGTGTCCCCGATCACCCAGCTGAGTTGTACCTGGAAGCCAGGCTCTCTGCTTCCGGAGCTGCGTCCACAGCTGGAGTGTGGGCGTTCACCCCCAGGAGGCGAGGCTGGATTTCTGAGGTTTCCGTTCAGAGGGAGGAGACGGCATTGGTCTCCCTGCCCAGTGAGGCCTGCAGGCCTGCGGCAGCGCTGAGCCACCCGGGCCTGGACTGGGCTCAGCAGGCCGGGCAGGAACAGCGCAAAGGAAACGAGCTGGCGGCGGCACTAGGAGGGATGGGGACCGTGGGGGGCTGGAGCGTGCCTGCTCCTCCAAACTCATTCAGCTAAACTTGAAACTGTCGTGTAACTGCTGCTTTTTAATTTGCCAAAAGGAGTACATGAAGGCTAAGCCAGAAACCGGCTTCCCGCAGCTGGTGGGCGGCGTGCAGGGCACGGGGTCCCTCTTCTGAGCTCCTGTTTTTTGTTTTTTGTTGTTTTTTAAATATATTTTATTGATTTTTCACAGAGAGGAAGGGAGAGAGATAGAGAGCCAGAAACATTGAGGAGAGAGAAACATCGATCAGCCGCCTCCTGCACATCTCCTACTCGGGATGTGCCCGCAACCCAGGTACATGCCCTTGACCGGAATCGAACCCGGGACCTTTCAGTCCACAGGCCGACGCTCTATCCACTGAGCCAAACCGGTTTCGGCTGAGCTCCTGTTTTTGTTTAGATTAGACTCTGGGGACGATGCAGTTGGGACTATGTTAATGATCTGTGTGTTGGAGAAAATAGGTCAGTGAAGATGAGGAAAAGCCCGCCTAAAGGTGAATAGATGCAGGACAAAGGAACCTACCTGTATTTCAAATGAATGGCATCACTACACCGAAAGGAAACGCTAAGTAACGGATCCACGCAACATGTCACCTGTTTCAAACTCCCTGCTCCTCTAAAGTCAGAAGGGTACCCGTGAAGCGTGAGCCCGCTCAGAAAGCGTGTGCTCACGTGGCATGGGCTCCCCGCTCAGGGTGACATGGGTGGCGGCTCTGCATCTCCTTTTCGGGTGGGATGGAGCCAACAAGTAAATGGACTGATGGTGACGGAAACGGAGGTGCGTACTGTTAGAGAAGCAGGTGTGCGTGTGGGACTGGGGAGAAGGAAGGGACCCTGTGGTGTTGGATTGGAGCTGGAGAAGCAGACACAGCATCCGCACCCTCGGGTCTGGGTAGGGTGACCCCGGGTGCTAACGGGCATCGTTCACGGTGGCGGAGCTGGGCGCTCGGTGTGTGCTCAGCTGGTTTAGAACATGCAGATCTGAGACACGTTGATGCCGAGCCAGGAGCGATGCTCGGTTTGCCTGGCCACGTGCGGGCCAGCGGACAGACCCCCAGGTGGGTCCCCAGGTGGCCACCAGGTCTGAGTGGATGGTGAGGGTCGCCTCTGAAAGCTCAGTGATCAGGGGTGGCGGGCGGTTGCAGTGACGGACACAGATGGACCAGGGTGGGTGGGGCCCAAGCTGCCGTGGGCTTGGGGGGGGCGCGGGTCACTGTGGAGAGGAAGGGGGCTTAGGCTTGTGCGGCTGCAGCACAGACAGTCGGGGCCTGGGGTGAGTGGACAGTGTTTAATAAACTTGCTGCCTGCTGTCCAGCCTCCACGGGCGGTCACACCTCTGGGATGGACAGGCTGGGCCTGGTGGACAGCCCGGGCGGGTAAGGGGTCCGACACCATCAGTCTGTGCCCCTCTAACGACACAGCCCTAAAGAGGCTGTGGCATGTGACCCAGGAATGCCAGTCGTCCCTCACTCCTGTCACCTTAGCAGGCGAGACTCGGGGCCACAGCCAGGCCAGGGCTAGTGGGGATTGGAGGGGGCGGGACCCTGCCTGGGACACAGAAGGGAGATTTGGGAGCCAGTTCAGT